TAGGATGTATGTTATGACCTTCCTTTCTATTGAGAGCAGTAGGATTAAGTATTATATGGAACTCTCCTTTCATTGTAATTGGAAAAGTCTTTTTGTAATATTTTGATATTTTTGACGTCGATTCGGTGATCGTTGTAAATAGCATGAACTGCTATTGCTAATATAATTTAAAGTCAATCCAGTTCTACGGGATTATTAGGTGGCTTCTTTGTGTACCTATTATATTTTTTGGTACGAGTCAAGATTTCGTGAGATGACTCTCCCATATAGAAGGCATCACAATCGATATAAGTTGATTTGTAGACGCAGTTCTATGTTGACATGAATAGCATCACTTAACATGTTTTCGTCAGGATGCATCGAGTAATAAGAAAACGGAAACTTGTTGAAATACTTTGTACTGAGAATTATATGCTTTACCGAATATATAATATTGAATATAGCCATTACTACTAATAATAATAAATAAATAATAAGTAAACAGATTCAAAGTCTACTTATTTATCATTTTCCTTATTAGATTTGTCTATTATTTTCCTTTTATGGAACATTTTGTTTATGATAAGTTGTAAGAGAAATAAGAAATTAGAATTTCTTTATAAGCAAAGATGAATAACGGATAGCAGTGAAATTCAGAACACGCGTTTCATTCTATTTGGGACATATCGACTGGATCTACATACATCTCAGAGTTGATGTTCACTCTAGAACTCGAACCCAGTATCGTTCGCTTCAAACACCATCCCATTATCCAATTAACTATTGAGTCCTAATAACCACCTGCTTCTGTAATAGGATGAAGTTTTAAGTTCACTTGATATTTTTGTTTACTTATATCTTCTCTATTGTTATTTAGAACTTCCATTGATCAATCTCTTATTGGCAATATATACATCCTGTACAAACTGCTTCGATATTGCCTGATGTCACAGAATAGTACATATATCATTGAATGATTGATCAATTAAAGTCCTAAATAACAAAGTATAGCAACACCAAGTAAATTACAATTTCTTTATTTAAAATATTCTTTCAATCTGACTGATAATGAACACCACCACCACCACCACCACCACCACCAACAACAACAACAACAACAAAAGAAGACCATTTCACTGTTATATTTGAGTATACTACATAGAGATACATAATAATATAAATGTTTATAGCAACAATTTTCATGATAAATAAATAAAATAATAAACAATGAATATTAGTAACCTCAAAAATATTGATTTATTCAATTGTCAATAAAATAATAAAAGTCTTTTGTTGTTGTTGTTGTTGTTTTAATTTTACATTATTCTATTCATTTTCATCTTAAAACAATAATTAACATTAATAAATAATGGTAATAATAATAATAGTAATGATAGTAATAGTAATAGTAATAATAGTAATAATAACAATAATAGTAATGGTACTTATAAAGTAACAATATAATACCTTATAGTAACCAATAATTTCACTTCATTAAAAGTACATGTTTACATATATATGGACATTTTCTCATTTATATAAATCAATCTATTTAACTAATTTTATTTCAGTAATAAATTAATTTTTGAGAGAAAAAGAAACCAAAACCTCTCAGAGAGAGATTTTCTCTTTCTTTCAATGATATTTTCTTGATCAAACATAAAGTAAGTGACATATATTCATTTATTAAGCCTTTTCATAGTGTATATATATATATATATATATATATATATATATATATATATATATATAGAGCTAATAATAGTTATCAATTGCATTAGATTAATATATCAGTATAAGATTGAGTACATGAATCCATTGATGTTAGACTAATATTGAAAACCTAGAATCATTAGATGACTATTTCATCCTATTGTGAGATTCCTCAGTAGTGTGTATCCATGATCTCACTCACAGGATTTGAACCTAAGACTTTCAGTTTCATGCGCAAACATTTAACCTTTAGACTGTGGTAGTCGGTATTCGATATAATCTTTAAACTTCGTATACAGCTCGTCTTGATAACCGTTCTATATAACGCCTCAACGGTTTATTATTCAGAAGGCAAATACAAAGTGTTGGTTACGTTTATTACGAGACCACACACATATATCCAAATGTACAGATGCGTTAAACAAGCATAGAACAGTTGTGCCGAAAGGCAAGCAAGCGAGCGAGAGCCAGAGCAAGAGTGAGACGAGAGTGTGTGAGTGTGTGAGTATGAATAACATGGACATATATATACCATGTGAAATGAATGAGTAATCGAATCAAATAATCAGTTAGTAGTAAGACTAGCAGAGTGAATAAATGCGTAGGCCGTAAGCAATATTCAAGCATACGTGTTTCATACAAGCACAAAATAATAAGGGTACAATAAGTTGTTATAGTGCGGATGACTTTGTCCGCTAAATGAGTTAGCAAAAGGGCTTAACTGCGTTAGATGAGACTAAACTCATTTGCACGTGAGTCGCTATAAGACCACTGAGCCAGTATCCAACGCTGTTATTGTCTAACTTCAACTAGTCGACGAAATTCCGCGATCATCTTTTATTGTACTGAAGTAGATACCTGTCTCTATCCACTGGTCATGGCTACTGACTAATCAGTACATGATAATTATCAGTAGAGGGGTTGTGGAGATACTATATTTTTGGATGAGATCATGAACCAATTGATGTTAGACCAATATTGGAAACCTAGAAGCATTAGATGGCTGTTTCATCTAATTGTGAAATTCGTCAGAAATGTGTATCCACAATCCCACTGGCGAGCTTTGAACCTAGAGCCTTCAACTTTGCACGAGAATGCTTAATCTTTAAAGGTTATTATTACATCAAAAATCTAGAATAAAGCAATTAGCTAATCATATATAAGATCATGATACTCATTTCATTCATATTTGTTGAATATTCTTATCTTTTGAAATGAAAACTACAGAAGTGATATGTTAAAGTCAACATAAAACTGAAATGTAGATATAACTATCTAACGAATCTGTAATAAGACGAAATGTTGTACTTCACTAATAGCTATATATCAAATATACTCAAACTTGTGACACAATATTATATGGAGATGATCTGTTTCAAATGTATTTTAACAGAAACTAATGAATTATACTCTTGAATATCAACTAAAACAACAAGTATCATTAGTACACTAACCAGTTATAAATTAAAGTCAATATAAACATCACTGATATAAACTATTGTCATTATTACTTACTTACTTACGCCTGTCACTCCTAATGGAGTATAGGCCGCCGATCAGCGTTCTCCAACCCACTCTGTCCTGAGCCTTGTTCATTCTTCTCATGTCATTGTTACTAAGACGTAATTATTTGATTTTTAGTTTTCTACTTTTATGATTAAGTAAAATGATTCAAAAAACATTACTGACAATTTGTCTAAGTCTACATCCTTGTAAACTATCATCAATGCAATTGGATTTTCTCTTCTATTTATAATTATTATGGATGTTTATTTGTCATATGATGAAGTATTAACTTTTCACAATATATATTATAACATTAATAGTTCATCAGTTATATAATTGATTCCAATCACACTTGATGGTAAAACTCTGGAACATGTAAGATCCTTCACTTACCTGGGAAGGATCATCGAAGAACAAAGAGAATTAGATGCAGATATAAAGGCAAGGATTGTCAAAGCAAGAGCTACATTCCTACAATTGAACAACATATGGAATTAAAGACAGTTCTACTGTACAGAGATGAAACTTTGACAACTACTACAACCATCATCAAGAAGGTGCAAGTATGTATAAATACTTGTCTACGCAAGATACTCAACATCCATTGGCCGAATAACATCAGCAACAGCCTTCAGTGGAAGAGAACAAACCAGATTCCATCTGAAGGGGAAATGTATAAAAAGACATTGGAAGTGGATAATACATACATTATGGAAACCATCGAAATGAATCCCAACGCAAATGATCACTTGGAATCCTGAAGGGAAACGGAAATGACAAAGTCCAAGGAACATATTACGTCAAGAAATAGAAGCAAATATGAAAAAGATGAATGACAGCTGGAAAAGATTGCCCAGAACAGAGTTGGATGGAGAATGCGAGTGTGCGGCAGCTTATGCTCCTCCACGACACGTAACACGAATAATTAAGTATATAACTCACTACAATATTAATAATACTAATATCCAAAGGGGTTTTGTGGAGATTTTTAGAAATTTCACAGATTGAAATCATGAGTCAGTTGAAGCTAGACCATCATGGAAAATCTGGAAGCACTGGACGGCCGTTTCGTTCTAGTGTGGGAATCCTAAGCAGTGCACATCCACGATTTCACACCCCACGAGATTCGAACCCAGGACCTACCAGCCTCGCACCAAGCGCTTAACTAACTAGACCACTGAGCCGGCATCCAATGGTGTTAATGTCTAACTTCAACCAATCCACGGAATTGTGCCACCGTACACCATTGTCTTCAGTGAGTTGATATCATCTGCTCACCAGTGACTGACTTCAAGAGATACTCTTGGAGTTCTAGTGCGAAGCCGTTACCAGTGGAGTTCAACCAGGTTTGTTGTGAGAAAAAGCCGTCCAGTGCTTCCAGGTTTTCCATGGTGGTCTAGCTTCATTTGACTCATGATTTCAATCTGTGAAATACTACTTACTTACTTACTTACTTACGCCTGTTACTCCCAATGGAGCATAGGCTGCTGACCAGCATTCTCCAACCCACTCTGTCCTGGGCCTTCTTTTCTAGTTCCATCCAATTCTTGTTCATTTTTCTCATGTCTATCTCCATTTCCCGGCGTAATGTGTTCTTTGGTCTTCCTCTTTTCCTTTGGTCTGTGAAATACTAATATCCATCAAAAATTTAAAAAAAACGGACAGTATATTTTTCAGAGATATATACATTATTTGATCTGCATAATATAATTCTTTTTTTTAATTTTTTAACTTTATTATTACATAATCATAGAATCCTTTATCATAAATCAATATATAATCAATCAATAATCAATCAATAAATGGGATCAAATTCTAGTTTACCAAAACTATCATTATCCAATAATATTGATTTATTACAAATTTGTTCAGAACATTCTATGAGTATTAATTGTTTAACAATAAATGAGAAACATTTCATATTAGCTACAGGTTCAGATGATGGTATCATATGTATATGGAATATGAATTCATTAGATTTATCAAACTTATTATGTTGTATACATAAATTCAACGAACATTCTGGTTATATAACACAATTAATATTTCATAATGATTATTTAATATCATCATCATCAGATGGTACAATACGTAAATGGAATTATAAGATAGGAAAATGTGAATATGTAAGATTTGGTGTTGTTGAGTGTTGGTATTGTCGGTGTTGTGTGTTTCGTTTCATAGTTGAATTCATGAATCCATTAGAAGTAGATTATCATGAAAAACCTAGAAGCATTGGATAACTCTTTAATCATTGTATGGGACTTCTCAGAAATATGTCAGTCAGTCAGTCAGCTACAATGTAGGACCAGGCACATATATGCATCGGTTCAAGTTGCCATACCTCATTAACACAACAAGACGGACACCAAATTCATAGTAGTCACTTCAGTGGTAGTAATATATAAAAGAAAGACTGTGTATAACGATATAACACAAGAAGAAACAATTAGTTCGTATAAAGAAATGTACAAAGCAATTTTAATATCCCAGTTTAAGGAAAGACAATGTGTGTAAGCACCTACACCATTGTGATCGATTCTGAGCCATGTCACCAAGAGTCTCCAACCATTGGTTACGAAAGTCACGCGGACCCCACCCAAGTAGTCTGCATCTACCAATATGGCTAAGATTAGGAGTTAGTGACTTCAAGCACTAATGCCACGTTTTAGTTTGGCCGCTCCTAACTTTCTTCCAACCATTCCGAACACCAGTTAGCATTGCACGTCGTGGTAATCGGTGTTCAGGCATACGTACCACGTGGTCCAACCATCTCAGTCGATGAAGATTCACAACCTCATCAACTGATTTACCATCATTCTCTAATACCCTGAGTATTCATGGTCTCTTCCAAAGGATCCAGATCCAGAATCTGTTGGTCTCATGCCTGAACACTGAACATCTGAACAAATGATCTAACTTTAATCAATCCATAAAATTGCGCCAGCATCCATCATAGACTGTGTTTTTTCTGATTTTAAATGATTAGCTATATTAAAGAATAAATAAAACACATGATCACTTAAGTAACACATTTATCTATTTATTTGAACACATAAATATTGGTACAAGAAGGCACTAAATATATATGCGCCAAACCAATGGTGCACGATTATGGGCTCCAGGATCCAGCGGGAATAAATGGGGTATGAACCAATCTTTGGCCCCAGGCTACCATGGGACTGCATCTCCTCACGATGCTCCACTGCCTTGTGGGTCAGACCTTTAGGTCAAAGGCTCGGGGAGTGGCCCCCTTAAAAAATTATCTGCTTCGGTATGGGCTACCGGGCAGTATCACAGCCCACACACAAATATAATGATAATGAAAAGTAGCACATCACCATACACTAATAATAAAATCGAACTCCAGAAACAACACGACGACAACTTATCTATTCGATTATCAAGATTACTTGGAAAGATCATCCAATAACATCGAAAAAGTAGTTGTCTCATATTTCAAATTCATTGATCAGGTATTAATACGGCTAATACTATTACGTCATGATTATTGACCTCCTACCAAAATCATAATGGATCATACAAAGAGACATAAACTTGAAATTCACTCACATATTAACCTGATATTAACATTGGTTAAGAGATTTATTCAGTTGAGTTTTTAAAAAAAGTGTTTAAATCAACAATCAGTAACGAGTTAATTAAAAAATTAAAACTCATGAGTTTTACCATACCTGCATAATAATTAAAAACTAAGCTATATGTCATAATTGTGTAGCGTGGTGTCAAGTCGAGATTGACTATGAATACCACTACAAGAAGACTACGTGCCAGTTAACCGATAAAATCCCCCATAAGCCAAATATCAGAAGGCAGTTGATGGCTGTAGTCGAGATGTATTTGTTGGTGATATCGTGGTATCGAAAGAATACAGAGATCGTGACAAAAGAGTACAAGCGTGGTTACCGAGAGTAACCAAACTCGTGCAAGGTCATAATCTAAGGAAGGAAGAATGTCTTTAGTACAGATAAACAAGCAAGTACAATAAAACAATCACTGGTACAATTGGTTATAATAATAATAATTGTTTCCATTAAATCAATCGCGTTCTCTTGGTAAAAGTAGGTCACTACAATTGTATCACCGATAGACATAGATAGAAATGTAACTTGATCTTATATATCTCTATTACAACAATACAACTTATGGTATCTATCTGATATACAAATTCACATGAAATTGTTTGTTTGAATCTTCCCATTGTTATTTAGGACTGCAATTGATCAGTATATGTATATGTGCGTATTGCCTCGATATTGCCTTAATTCACAAGCATTATATGCAAATATGGGTAGTGGCTAGCAGTGGCGTCCAGGACGTGCGTTTCATCCTATTTGGAACTCGTCATCTGGATATGCTTGCATCTCAGACTTCATGTTCACTGTGAGACTCGACCTCAATACCGTTTGTATCAACTCTGAGATGCAGGTACATCCAACTATGGAGTTATCAGAACTGAAATCCTGATATTTGTTTTTTTTTTTAAATTTTTTGATGACAATATATAAAATGTAATGTATTTTAGATGAAGATATCCAAAATTGTGGTGTCAGATTTCAATGTTCAAGAATAAATTTCCATGATCTTTTCAAGATTTCAAAACACTTGAACTACAATATTATTTACTGAGTTTTTTTTAAATTAAGATAATGAACCGACTGATGCTAGACCACCATTGAAAACCTGGAAGCACTCATCTAACATCAATCAATTCATGATCTCAATGGAAAAACTTAATCATCTCCATAACCCCTATACTGATCAGTTTCTGATTTCCTTATTTTTGTTTGATACTTTAACAATTACTCATGAACATCAAATGTGAACCTAATAGACTTGCAAATTGTAAATAAGCTGAATACGCTCCTAATACTAACAGGATTTTGTTTGTTTTTTACTAATAAACGATCAGTTATGTAATCTGAAAACGTTCAAATGTATAAATTTCCCCATTTTAGATTAATTTACATTTGTGAATAAGCGTTTTTGTGGATGATCATTCATAAGTCAAACATCCGATCTCAGCTCATAGGTGCAAATATAGTGAGATGATTATTACTTACTTACTTACTTATGCCTGTTACTCCTAATAGAGCATAGGCCGCCGACAGGCATTCTCCAACCCACTCTGTCCTGGGCCTTCCTTCTTTTCTAGTTCCATCCAATTTTTGTTCATTCTTCTCATGCCTATATCCATTTCCCGGCGTAATGTGTTCTTTGGTATTCCTCGTCTCCTCATTTGGTCTTGAGGAATCCATGTGAGGGCTTGTCTTGTGACGCAGTTGGGTGCTTTCCTCAATATGTGTCGTATCCACTTACAGCACTTCTTCCTGATTTCTTCCTCCGCTGGGATCTGGTTTGTTCTCCTCCACATTACGTTGTTGCTAATAGTGTCCGACCAACGGATCTGAAGTATGTTGCGTAGACAATTGTTAATAAACACCTGTATTTTCTGGATGATGGCTTTCGTAGTTCTCCAGGTTTCCCCCCATACAGTAGAACTGTCTTGACATTTGTAGTGAAAATCCTAACCTTGGTGTTGGTTGACAGTTGCTTTGAGTTCCAGACATTCCTTAGTTGTAAATATGTATATGTATAAACAAAAAATAACTCAATGACTACTATATTCAAATGAAAAGCTGGGCACAATTACTCTTATAATCTCAGTTGATAAAGTAATATCATGAACGCTGGCAACTAAATATGTAAATGACGTTTTTTGATTAACAAACAATAAATGTCAGTATCTCAGTGAAAAACATCTCGTCATTGTTTATATATGGGTAATCTGAAGAGGTATGTGCATTCACGGTAGCGATTGATAAAAAGATTTTGAGTATGTTCATGTCGATATAATTGTTTATGAAGTTGTGTTAACGTTGTGGAAGCCCGTTATTTTGTCGTCATTTAGATCGTCGGTAGTCATATCACGTCGGGCTCACCACTTTTGTAGAGGCCTTTAATTTTGTTGTCGTTTAGATCGAACGATGTTGTCGAAAGGGCTCTCCACTTCAGTGGCCAGACATCTGACTCCAAGGTGATCGTAATGATGATTGTTGTTGAAATATATATGTCGTCTATCCTCGTATATAATCCATCGACTTAAATCACGTTAGTCAATAACGGAATTAAATAAGTCAAACAACGAGAATGGACTTGTGAATACATATGTTTTGTATATGAAGCGAATAGAATAGAGAGAAGAGAAACGACGCCCAGTGGAGATGGTGGGTAAGCCAACTCCCGTTTAACTAAACGTTAATCAATAAGTTACAGATATGTGATGAGTAATGGGATAATAAATGTGTACACACACCTACGCGCTCATATAAACACAGTCAAGATTGATAAGCGGCTAATGAAAAAGGTCAAAATGTGACTCAAGTAGAATGAATAGAATAGGCTGTCAGAAAGCTATAATAAGGTATATGGGCTTAACATAATAACCGACACTACAACGTATCCATTTTGTATTGGCCTAAACGAACTTCAACTAACAATAAAACAAAACATTTTATACTAGGAAAAAATAACTATCTAAGGCTCTCTAATCTTCAACTGTGCCTAAGCTGAAATCGATCTGTGGCGAAAAGGACGCATATATAGTAAATTTATTTGGAACTAATTTCAACCATCCATCATAAATATTTCCACTACTCCTTGTGTATTGAACAAGAATACGAGTGGAGAAAATCGAATGTATTTGAGCACAAAATTACAGAACATCTCATTAAATAGTTAATTTGGAATATATCAGTCCATTGTCTCAGATTTCATTGTTCATCCATTTTCATACTAATTGCTTTCCGATCGAGTTCTTTTCCTTTTGATCTTTCACTGAAATACATTCTATGTTTGGTCATTGTTATATACTACTTTTGTGGATATAAGTAGCTCACATCACAGTTGTACTTTCAGTATAGATGAAAAAATCAATTTCTTCAAACTTTAATTCCTTCAATTATGTTTTTAAGGTATTTGTAGGCCATAAAGATGTGGTGAGAAAAATTATATGCGTCAACGACTATATTATAAGTGGATCACAAGATAAAACAGCCATTTGTTGGAATTTCCATACAGGTGCAATATTGAATACATTCAAAGGGCATACACGTCTTGTCAATGCAATTGCCTATTATGGTACTGTAACAAATGTATTTCGAAATGATAATAGTTTTGAAATGCTTTCAACTGCTGGAAATTTTGAACGTGTTTATACAGGATCAGCAGATCGAACTGCTAAATCATGGAGTCTTAAAACATCAAAATGTGTTGTTACTTTTGAAGGTCATACACAACCAATTACAGTAATGGAAGTAATTAAAGATGGTGAAATTCTATTAACAGCATCGATTGATAATACTATACGTAGTTGGTTTACAGAATCTGGAATACAACAATTTATATTTGTTGGACATAAAGGAACAATTATCTCTATGCATGTAAGTACGTTCAGTAATGTAATCTGGAATTTCTGATTCTCTTGATTCTTTTTCTTTTGTTGTTGCTGCTTATTTCTGAGGCAAGTATCCATGTAAACCGTTAAAGTTGAACTGATTCAGTAAGGAAGAACGGCGAGACTATAATTTATGGATGAACTGATCAGGTATAAGATAACAGGTCTCGGATTTTAAAGCAAAATTCACTCATCCATTTGGTTAAATAGAGTTTTGGCATTATAGTCGATATCAGTTCGTGATGAAAACCCTAAATCTAATTTCTAACCCCTAACTATCAACTGTAAATCATAATTCTAATTCTTCACACTGATTTATAACCCTCATTTGGTTCTGGTTATCAAGTGAACACTCTCAAGGTCACTTTAGTGTTGCTTAAAGGTCGTCTATAAATGACAGTCTCATCGGACAAACCCTAAATTGGCTATAAATGAATTATCAGAATGGGTTTTGTGTAGATTTTTACAAATTTCCATAGTTGAAATCATGAGTCGATTGAAGCTAGACCACCATGGAAAATCTGGAAGCACTGGACGACCGTCTCGCCCTAGTGCGAGACCCCCCGTCGGTGCGCACTGACGATCCCGTACTCCGCGGGACTCGAACCCAGGACCTAACCAACTAGACCACTGAGCCGGCATCCAATGGTGTTAATGTCTAACTTCAACCAATCCACGAAATTGCGCCACCGTACACCATTGTCTTCAGTGAGTTACCATCTCACAACAGACCTGGTTGAACTCCACTGGTATCAGACAAGGTGGCTAGGATAGATAGACCAAGTAGGATGTATGTTATGGTCTTCTTTTCTATTGAGAGCAGTAGGATTCAGTATTATATGGCACAGTGCTAAGATTGTATAAGTCGTATTTTGATTGGTGGATAAATCACGTGAGAAAAAGCCGGACATAAAGTCACAACATATAGTATTATTCTAGAAATGGATTCCAACAGTTACCATTCATGATTCTTATCGGGATATAACAATATTGACACAGTTTGAATCTTTAATTAACAAAGTACATATGTACTCCTATATAAATCTGAATGATATACATTAATATTCAGTTGGTTACACGACTTATTCGATACCTACATATTCCATCAAGATCCCTGTCTCATCATCTCAAGGAAGGAGAAAAATGTATCATGTAACTATCTTATTTTGCTTATGTTTTTTGATTAATGAACGTAAAATACATTGTGTTACTTGGTAACAACGAATCTATCTTTGTTTAATAAAATAATGTTAATGTTGGTGACGTAAAATTACTGAAGGAGTTCGTCAACAGATTAAAAGTTAGTATCTTTTAGGCATGTTAAGTATTCAGTATAAATCATTTACAAACCATAACGTATTAGTTAGTAATAGGAAATTGGCATGCAGATCTGGACTAAGGCTTCAGTCAGTCAGTCAGTCAATGAAAATGTATAACGTCGTACGTCTGTACATCAGTTCCAGTTGACATACCACATTATCGCAGAGATACAATTGTCAATTCAAATCCTACAGTGGTAGAGGTAGTAAAAGTATAAGCAGTCATCGGAAAGATTAGCATTTGAAGATGGTAATCAAGGAGTATAATCTAGTGAAATAAATTTGGAAAGAGAAAAAAGAAAGGAAAATGAAGAATTCAGAATATTAGAATTTGGGAGGACACAATGAGTGGATGCATCTGCGTCATTGCAAACGATTTTGAGCCATGTCATTCAAGGTCTCTAACCATCAGTTGCTATCATCTCGCAGATCCCAACCACGTAGTCTACACTTACCAATATGGCTCACGCAGTCCACTTGTCAGTGACTTCATGGATCGGTGCCATGTTTTGTTCTGGCCGCCTCTAGATTACTTCCAATCTACTCCTACACCATAAAACATCGCACGTCAGGGCAGTCTGTGGTTGGTCATACGTAACACGTTTCCCAGCCATCTTATCTGATGAAGTTTCACTACATCATCAATTGATTTGCCATCCTTATCTAGTACCCGTTTCCTAACAACTGCATTACTTACTCAGACCAAGGTTTCATGGTAGTTGAAACTTATCATCAAAAAGAATTTTCAGTCTTTAGAGAACCGATGATTCTTATCGGATTATAAACATCAGTGTTACGATGACTGATGATATCATGAAGTTATTCTATCCCCTACTAACCTCGTTTAGGGTTAAAATATTTACCGTCTTTGAGTATTGATTAGAAATCAAAACCGTGTTCATCTAGATCTCATTCATAATCGATTTATATTGATATAATCAATAGATTAAGTTAACCAGTATTGAATACTCTGTGATTGACTTTATATGGTATATTTAATGGAATATGCAAAAGTTGATTACTTCTACGTGGAATTAATCTCTTCTTTTTTGTTTACTGTACTGTCTAAAATTTCAGATTAATAATAAAATATTATATACAGGAAGTATTGATCATACAGCAAGATCATGGTCTATAGAAACTGGTAAACAAATAAGAGTATTCTCAAAACATAGTCGTTCAGTGAATTATGTTAGAAATCATGAAGGAATGGGTGAGTCAGTATATATATATATATACCAACCTATTTTTTTCTTATTAATTAAAACAACAAATAGTACTTGACAACAATGAGTGTAGATGACTATGGACATTACTTACTTACTTATTTAATTACTTACTCCTGTTTCTACCAATTGTGCATAGACCGCCGACTAGCATTCTCCAACCCACTCTGTCCTGAGGCTTCTTTTCTAATTCCATCCAATTTCTGTTCATTCTTCTCATGCCTATCTCCATTTCCCGTTGTACTGTGTTCTTTGGTTTTCCTCTCCTCCTCCAACTTTGGCCTTGAGGATTCCATGTGAGGGTTTGCCTTGTGACGCAGTTCGATGCTTTCCTCAATGTGTGTCCTATCCACTTACAGCACTTCTTCCGGATTTGTTTCTCCGTTGGAATCTGGTTTGTTCTCTCCCACAGTACTTTGTTGCTAATAGTGTCCGGCCAATGGATCTGAAGTACTTTGTGTAGACAACTGTTAATAAACACTTGTATCTTCGGGATGATGGTTGAGGTAGTTCTCTGAGTTTCCATCCATTACAGTAAAACTGTCTTGACATCTAATTATACTTACCTTAGATTTGATTACAGTTTATATTCTTACCAAATTACTTGCATAAATATGTATAATAGTTTGGATATGGAATAATTTTAAAATATTAATATATTAGTAAATGATACTATAATTAGCAGTGGTGATTTTAGTGGGACTATAACTTATGGACGACCTTTAAGCAACACTAAAGTGACCTTGAGAGTATCCACCTAATAACCAGGACCAAATGAGGGTTATTAACCTGTGTGAGGAATCGGAATTATGATTTACAGTTGATGGTTAGGGTTTTCATCACGAACTGATATCAACTATAATGCCAAAACTCTATTTAATCAAATGTATGAGTGAATTTCGCTTCAAAATCCAAGACCTGTTATCTTATACCTGACTGGTTCATCCATAAATTATAGTCTTGACGACATCTTCAATTCACTTGTTCTCATTCATTTACAGTATATTCTTTACTCATTTATATAACAACGTTACTTTATATACTACTTAAATGAATTTTGTTATTGCTTTTTCAAAATAACAACAACAATAATTTTTAGTGATTACTGCTTGTAGTGATGGATGTGTAAGATTGTTTGATGAAAAAACAGGTGAACTATTAAAGAAGTTAATTCATCCAAATCATGAAAGTTGTCTTATATTCAAGGTAAATATGTTTAACATTGTGTATAACGCATAAATTACATATATGTTGATAGTGATTCTGGTCAACTTTTTTGTAAATAATACTTTTATCAATAGATACAATGGAGTATCGAACAGTTGGTAAGTTTTAATAGTTAAGATCATGAGTCAATTGAAACGAGACCACTATGGAGAATCTGGAAGTACTGGACCACCGTATCGTCCTATTATGAGAATCCTCAGCAGTGCGTATCCACGATCACATCCCGCCAGATCCAAACTCACGACCTAACAGTCTCGCGTGCTAGCGTTTAACCACTAGACCAATGAGTCGGGCTGCATCCAACGATGTTAATGTCTAACTTCAACTAATCCATGAAATTGAGTGACACCACCATCATTGTGTTCAGTGAGTTACTATCTCACAAAACACTTGGTTGAAATCTACTGGTCACTGCTTCATATTAGAACTCCAGGAAATACCTCTTGCAGACCATCAGTAGTGAGTATATGTTGTATCATATCAGAAGCGTTTTTTGTAGATATTATAGTAATTTTATAGTTTAGTTTATGAGTCAATTGAAGCTAGATCACCATTAAAAACCATCATTTTATCTAATTTTGTGTGAGTGACTTTTAAGTACTCTACTCGATTAACGCAGAATACAGTATACAACTACGGAACTCGAACCCTCACAGTCTTAAATCAGATGACAGAAGAAGACTGGAGAAGCGCCTCTTGTGTAAGAATCAAAATGTACAGGAAATCATGGGTTTTCATAGATATTAGTGTTTATCATATCAACACATAATTCAGCCAATCCGCAAAGAGGCATGTTATGTTACTATCTAGTAATAGCATGCCACGTTGATATTCTAGAAAACGTCATCACGCTCTGATTGGATGGAAACTCTTCGGTTCCTTTGGGATATCTGAAGGCTCTTTCGTAGTTCTCAGAAGCCGGCCCAACAGCAGTAAGACTAAATTGATTGCTCACTTTTATCTAGCTAAATAATGATCTGATAACCAGGGGTTTTCTTGATGATTAAGAAAAAAGTAAGGTAAGATAGACACTGTAAAATAAAGTACTTAGTCGTTATCAGTATTGGTTTGTGGAGATTATTAAGTTTTTGATTGAGATCATGAACCAATTGATGTGAAACCACCATTGGAAACCTGGAAGCACTGGAGTGCCGTTTCGTTCTATTATGGAACTCCTCGGCAGTGCGCATCCACGATCCTCCTCGCTCAGTAGTCTAGAGGTTAAGTGTTCGCGCGCGAGACTGAAGGTTTGAATGTTGCGAGGAGAATCGTGGATACTCACTGCTGGGGAGTCCTGCGATCAAACGAAACGGCCGTCCTATGCTTTCAGGTTTTCAATGGTGGTCTAATATTAGTCGGTTCATGATCTCAATCAATTACTTAGTCGTTAGTCAGACAATGTTGATCTATCCATATGAAAGTTAAAAATCTTACTAAATGTTGAATTCGTCAAACAAGACATAACATAGCAATCTTAGATGAATATTTTAAAAATTTACTTGCTTTCGTTGTTCAATGCTCGTTCTATATTCTTTTCTGTATATGAGTGAATAATAGTCTATCTTTAGTACACTTTGTTATAACATTTAATGATTTGAGTTATCCAAAAGAGAGTTACCTACTAAAATTATAGACCTCGACTAACAGAAGTCTCTGCATCAGTAGGCCTCAGCATACACAAAGGGAAAACCAAGGTCCTCAAATTCAAAGCGGAGAACAGCAATCCAATCACCCTTGATGGCGAAACTCTGGAAGATGTAGAGTCCTTCTCATACCTAGGAAGCATCATCGATGAACAAGGAGGATCCGATGCAGACGTAAAGGCGAGGATCGGCAAAGCAAGGGTCGCATTCCTACAATTCAAGAACATATGGAACTCAAAACAACTTTCAACCAATATCAAAGTGAGAATCTTCAATACGAACGTCAAGGCAGTTCTACTGTATGAAGATGAAACTTGGAGAACTACAACAACCACAATCAAGAAAGTACAAGTATTTATAAATAGCTGTCTACGCAAGATACTCAACATCCATTGGCCAGATACCATCAGCAACAGCCTTTTGTGGGAGAGAACAAACCAACTTCCAGCTGAAAAAGAAATTAGGGAAAGACGATGGAAATGGATAGGACATACATTACGCAAATCGTCAAACTGCATCACGAGGCAAGCCCTAACTTGGAATCCTGAAGGGAAGCGAAAAATAGGAAGGCCAAAGAACACATTGCGTCGGATAATAGAAGCAGATATGAAAAGGAGGGATTACAACTGGAAGAAGGTAGAAAGGATTGCCCAGGACAGGGTTGGGTGGAGAATGCTGGTGAGCGGCCTATGCTCCTTCACGGGGAGTAACAGGCGTAAGTAAGTAAGTAAGTAAGTAATACGACCACAATAGTTGAACATCATCTCTATATATAAGAGATGCGAGGCTCTATAAGATCAAGTATCCTAATAAAAAAATAACCTGAATGGAGAATTTTATTAGAAGATTTGTAGTGTTACTTAGAAAATACCTTGTAACTTAATATAGATATAAACTATCATTACAGCTAAATATACAAGAATAATTTATTACAAACAACTGGATATCAGTTCGGAAAACTGAATAGGTAACACGACTATCATGAACTGATCTGATTGATATAATTTGCTTGTTTTAAAGGTTTACATCTAAACTGAAGGTACTTTACACCGAAATCATTATAAAATCTCTTAGCTGATAATAATATAAAGGCAATGAGATTATAATTTATGGACAACATTTGAGCGACACTAAAGTGACTTTGAGAATGTTCACCTAATAACTAAGACCAAATCAAAGTTATGAATCCGTTTGAAGACTTCGGATTGTGATTTACAGTTCATCTTTAGGGTTAAGAATTAGATTTAGAGTTTTCATCACAAACTGATATCAACTATAATGCCAAAACCTCTATTTGACCAAATGGATGAATGAATCTCGCGCCAAAGTCCAAGTTCTGTTATCTTATATCTGATCAGTTCATCCATAAATTATAGTCTCACCATGAAAGCTAAATGTGTAAATTATTATTGATTTGTAAATCTTTTAACCATTTATTGATTGTTTTTTTTCTGTTCAAAACATTTAATCAAATTTTATAAATTTTTCATAAAAATAATTTTCATGTTGCCATCAACATTTTTATTGAATACAATTTATATTACTTTTAATATTTATAAGTAGTATAAAAAGTTGATTAAAATATACTTTCCCCCCTCACCACAAATAGATTTATGGTGATTATTTATTTTCTGCATCAAATGATGGAAAAATTTATATCTGGCGTTATTTTAATCCAGAAATAATGAAACGAAATGAAAGTGAATAAATAATTATTGTTCAAATTGAAAATGTTTTGATCATGGAAACTACAGCAAATATTTTTTGAAATTTGTCTTAGTAACAACCTCTTTTTGTTGTTGTTGTTGTTGTTGACAATTCCCAAAGTTCTGTGTACGTAACAACAATTTGTTTTTTGTTTTTGAATTTGTTTCAATTCTGCTTCATCAGTAGAGAAAATAATTTTTAATTTAATACATTTACTACTTTTTAATTGTTCATAGAATAGACTTTTTCTTCTCTATTTCATCGGCATTCGAATAAAAGAATGATTCATTTCATACTGAATTGAAGTTTTTGTAGGTTTCAAAAGTTCATGATCTATGCATTGCATGATTAATTACTTTTCATTTTAAATAATATTTAGATTGGACAGTTGTTACGTGTTATAACTTGTGGCCTGAGTGCCCTGATAAGGTATAACGTAATGATACCGCAAATTAGAGAACAGTGATTTATCGACTAGACCAATGACGCATAAAACAAGTACGAAAAGTCTAGAGTCCTTATTGGTTCTGCTTTCTGCCTAGCCCAGCCAGTTAAGTTTAGAACACCAATCGCAGCCTCTGTGATATAAATCATTTATTTCAAACATACTGCGGTTATATACAAACCGAACAGACCACATTGAACCATAAAATAGGAAACAACATTTGTACAAGAATTAGCCAAATGTGGCTGTGAATAAGAGAGATAGTGATAGATTGGCTAGTTCTAAGTCAAGAATCGTAAATCATATAATAATAGTTCATAGGTCAAAGTAAAGCTTATGATAAGAGGAACATGAATGTGAATAGTTTAGTTACTTAACAATTATGCTATAAAAATATCTGTATAGTATTATTTCAGAAATAGATTTCAACAGTTACCATTCATAATTCTCATCGGGATATAACATTGAGATTATTTTTCATTCTGAAAAGCATTTAATCATTGCTCTTGACATTATATAATCATAACCAATGGTACTGACCCTGATTTTGGCGTCTAAGTGACTCATCAGGATGGTCAATTCACTTTCTGAATATGTCTCTACGATGAACAACACCCTATTATATATCAGTTTTCATTATCTTCATTTTTCTTATTAGCGATTCATAGTGTTGGATGGGATCCATTGTAATCTTTTCTCTTTTTGTTTAATAGGATACGTTGATGATCCTGCAGTCAATTAGTTTTCATCCTATAAGCTACTTTTACATTTCTATGGATAAATTAATCAAACTTCTAAGGTATAGGTATGAAGATTAGGAGTATTTGAATTATGGTACGAACTAAGAATCCCAGAAATAACGTAATCGGATCAAGAAAAACTAGATAAGCACAAACGAATGTACTGTATTTAGAATTCCAAATCAAACATTCAACAAGTATAAAGGAATCATTAGTTCATTCAAACACCACAACAGGACATTTTCTTCTTCAACACAAGAATATAATTAAAAAAAAGAGAATTCAGCGAAGAAAATTTTCTTCGCTGAATTCTCTTTTTCTTATTCAATGACACTATGGGTTATTTTAATATAATAAAAGCCCTCTTTATATTTTCTCTTTTCTATCGAGATAGGATCCAATGTGTGTCACTCATTCTAATAGCGTTTAGATTGTACTTTTTCATCTCTGCGATTGTCTGGATGGTCTATCAGTCTCACACATTGTTCACACATTCCATGCCCTTATATTAATTATTGGTGTGATTATCAGAAACAGTATCGGCCTCGTAGATTCTGGAGACTCTCGACTTCACTCCTATATAAAAACCCTTGAACTAACATGGCATGGTATAATTGGTTTAAATATTTTTCTCTAATCAGTAACTATTGTGAGTTTTTTGTATACATGTTTGGGTTATGAACTATATGAGAAAACTACCTTTTTTAGCCGTGCCTGGGACCGGTAGGAACCCTGAGTGGGCTTTAAGCGAAGATCCCGAAATTTGTATCACTTCAATCACTAATTTGTTAAACAAACTACATAAAATATTTACATATGTACGTAGGTCGTCAGATAATCGATAAAACTGATATATTTATGTTAAAGAAATAATCTTCCATAAATGAATGTTTCTGAAATTACAGACACACTCTGTAGACAGCTATTGGCACAGAAAAGTATTGTAAGAGCTCAACAACAACAATAATAATAATCATCTATCACTACCATTTAGATGATTATTGGCACTGATCGGTGAACTTCGACACTTTTTTTGTTGATAAAATGAGTTTACTTGGAAATAGTGAAAACTTATACTAACAGAGTACTTGCTTTGAAAATATTGAGTTATAAAGAGGTTTAAAGATAAGTGTTAAATTACTTATATACTTACGCCTGTTACTCCCAATGGAGCATAGACCGTCGACCAGCATTCTCCAACCCACTCTCTCCTCGGCCTTCTTTTCTAGTTCCATCCAATTCTTGTTCATATTTCTCATGTCTATCTCCATTTCTCGGCGTAATGTGTTCTTTGGTCTTCCTCTTTTCCTTTGGCTTTGAGTGTTAACTAAATCTATTATAAAAAAAGCTATACGGAATATTGTTTTTAGCTTTTTAACATACCTAGTCATAGTTTACTAATTTATAAATTCCAAATTATTTGTTTTCTTCACAGTTGACTAGATCAATGATCATATATAGTTCAACATGCATTCAACTAAGATGTGGGAGTTTCACAGTGTCTTTGATAAATCTAACTAAACAATAATATCTACAAAAAACGCTTCTGATATGAAACAACATATACTCACTACTGATGGTCTGCAAGACGTTTTTCCTGGAGTTCTAATGTGAAGCAGTGACCAGTAGAGTTCAACCAAGTGTTTTGTGAGATAGTAATTCACTGAACACAATGATGGTGGTGTCACTCAATTTCGTGGATTAGTTGAAGTTAGACATTAACATCGTTTGATGCACCCCGACTCATTGGTCTAGTGGTTAAACGCTAGCACGCGAGACTGTTAGGTCGTGAGTTAGGATCTGGCGGGATGGGATCGTGGATACGCACTGCTGAGGATTCTCATAATAGGACGATACGGTGGTCCAGTACTTCCAGATTCTCCATAGTGGTCTCGTTTCAATTGACTCATGATCTCAACTATTGAAATTAGACAATAACTGATGATTTGTGACCGTAATGAAGCTCTGTCATTCATATGTTAACATAGGGGAGCACCAAGTAGTTTGTTTTGACTCATCGACTATGAAAACTTTTATCTTCAGCAAGACAACTGCTTGTACTAAGCTGAAATATAAAAGGATTACAGGATATATGCATTGTTAGATCTATCGAAGCGTCCAAGTCACCCGATTGAGATACGCGCAAAATCGAAGTTTCCAAAACAACGATTTGTCTACAATAGCGGTTCTTTATTAAATAATACACTAAATTTAGTTACAAACCTCAACTTGTGAGGTGTCTAGGCGTTTGAACGCGTCCTTCAAGAATGGAAATAACAAAGGCTTCCTGTAACAGTAACATAAAGAATAATTATAACATACGATAGTACAAAGGACAGCTGATAGCTGTGTCTAAATTTGATAACAGTTTACGAACAACCGAAACCCGAACCAAGAGCAAACAATATGGAAATTGTTGCGTTTAAACAAATGCACAAAACTGTGGATACCCGTTACAATGATTAAGATACAGTAATTATAATGATAAATACAATCATAAGTACAATAAACGTTATAAGTATATGTGAAGATTTCAGAATATTACAGTACAACCTGTATTACAGCATAAGTGTGAAAATTGTTGGGCATACAACTGCATACTGAATATAAATAAGTAATATAAGACAATATACAAAAGAGTAGTAAGGGAACGAGTAGGAACAATGTAAGACCAACTTAACATGCATCAAAACGACTTTTAAACAATTACCCTTGTTTTTTATATAATGATTGGGTCTTATAGTATTCTACATAATATTAACAAATAACTACCAGCATAAGTTCTAAGTGTATCAATACGTCAATCAAAGAGTACCTTGAGCTCATCTAATGGCATGTATCGTATTAATGTTTCTGATTACTGGACTGATTGTTTTCCATTGATACGATCAAAGGATATATTCGTACTTTTTTTATAACTTGTGAACTATGTGCCCTGTTTATTGTATAACTTAACGATACCGCCAATTAGAGAGCAGTGAATTATCGATCGGATCAATAACGTATAAAATCCGTGTGAGCAGTCTAGAGACCTTATTGGTTCTGCTTCTCACCTAGCCCAGACAGTTAAGTCCAGAACACCAGTCTCAGCCTCTGCATTATGAATTGTTTGTTTAAAACATACTGCGGTTATATACAAACCAAACAGACCACATCGTACCATAAAATAGGAAACAATATTTGTAAAAGTATTAGTCAAATGTGGCTGTGAATGTGGGAGATAGCAATTACTAGACAGGGTAGAACTCAAGAATGGTAAATCGTATAATAATAGTCTAGGAGTCAACATAAAGCTTATAATAAAAGTCACGTTAATATGCATAGTTAAGCTACTTAACGATTACACATTAAAAATATATGTACCGTATTTGTCCATAAATCGATCCAAACAGTTACCATTCATAATTCTTGCTGGGATATAACACTTTATAACACCATAGTAGAGGAGACACTTGAAAATCTATTGCTTTACTCAAGATTCGCCTATAATGGGAAGTTCGATCCACTAATTACATAATTAGTTCAGTATTGGAAAACAAATCCGAAGAATGAATTAGCTCGAGTGAAAACATGAAATATCATCTTCTTTAGAATCTGAGTTATATAGATTCAATAATACTAACGTTCATTTCATCATTATATTCAATGTCATCTATCTTTATCCATTTGTTTGAGTACTAGTTGTCATTTTCAAGGTTTTTAACAGACTTCAGTATATATTCAATATTAATAATGACCTAAGTATACCTTGATGGTAGTTCTTTGATAACATGTACTTATACAAAAATATTACTTTTACTTACTTACTTACCTACGCCTGTTACACCTAATGGAACATAGACCGCCGACCAGCATTCTCCAACCCACTCTCGCCTCGGCCTTCTTTTCTAATTCCATCCAATTCTTGTTCATTTTACTCA